CCTAAACCCTAAACCCTAAGTAGGTTTGGTGTTTCGGTCAGTCGTAACTCCCCCATCTTCAGACCTATTTGGGCCGTGCAGGATGCCCATGCAAGAAATTTGGGTTTAGGGTTTAGGGTTTAGGGTTTAGGGTTTAACTCTTACCCTCATCAGGGCTTCGGGGTTTAGGGTTTAGGGAACCCTTGAAGGTTTCGGGGTTTAGGGTTTGGTATAGAAGCCTACGTACTAAATAACTAGCAATATTACTGTTAGGGTTCCTTTTCATAATATTATTACCATCAAGAAATTTAACCCTTGAAGGTTTCGGGGTTTTAGGGGTTTTACCTTATTTAAGGATCAAAGGACTCATATTCTCAGGATTGTGAAGGTTTCGGGGTTTAGGGGTTTTAGGGCTTAGAAGGTTTCGGGGTTTTGGGCTTTAGGGTTTAGGGTTTTAGGGTTTGGGGTTTTAGGTTTGAAGGTTTCGGGGTTTGGGGGTTTTAGGGCTTAGAGGGTTCGGACTTTAGGGCTAACGGGTTTAGGGCTTCGGGGTTTAGGGTTTTGGGTTTAAGTTTCGGGGTTTACCCTCAGGCTCTTTAGGGTTTAGGGTTTTAGGGTTTCAGGGTTTAGGGTTTAGGGTTGATATGAGGCTCTTAGGGCTCATAGTCTACGGCTCTTGGGCCCAAAGACCATACCATACTAGGTAGGGCTTTTGGGCGACTTTGAGCCTTAGGGTAAACAAAGCGGGAGTGTATACCCTAAACCCTAAATCCTATACTCTACACAGACCCGTAGGGCCTTAGAAAACATGAATCAAACACACCCAGAACCTTAAATCCGAAATGCTCTCGATACTTAGTCCACGGCGCGCCAACTACCCTAGGGCAATTCCGTAAAGATCCGTGCTATATAATCATATGGGTAGTTCTCTAGAATAGGGTCCCCTGTTTAGGTCCCTACTATAGTACGGCACCCTTACAATCAGCACCCTAAAAGGGGCCCAATTTAGAAAACTACTCATATAGTCTATATTTTGACCTTCTTCGAGCCCCAAGTACCTACCCAGAGTTTTTCGTATGGCATCAGGATATACTGCAATTGGAGGTACATGGACCCAGAAACTCCACTAGCCCCTAATTAAGGAATATGCCGTAAAAATCACGTCAGGAATCCTACTATCCTAAATCCTACACCCTACACCCTAAACCCTAAAACCTAAACCCTAAACCCAAAACCCAAAGCCCTAAACCTAAACCCTAAACCCTAAACGGTTTAAGTAGGGGATATTGGAGTCTCTGGGGACCCTTGAGGGTCGTAGCTTGCGCACCTTTAAGGCTGCGGCGTCATGCTGATGTGGAACACCGTGACGAGCTGGGCAGGACCGACTGTGAGCCTACCATGAATGCGATACAAACAAAACCGTACCTGGACCCTAAAGAACCTACCTTTTTAGGGCACCTTATTATGATTTTCTTATATAAGTCCAGAAAAAAGCAGGTTATTTAGGGTCCCTGTAAACCCCAAACCCTTCGAAAGAAGGACTTCT